TGGTTGGACAAGGCGTCGGAACTCTTCTGTACAAGACATATTCACTTATTTCACCATTTGGTCGTCTGGGAGAATCTGAAAGACATTATATTCAGTAATAGGCACTTCTTGAATCTTACGTTTGTACCAAGTACGCCACAACCCAAGGTTGTCACAATTACTCACCCCATGTAACAAGAATGTTTCGTCTTCCAGGAGACAACATCGGAGAGTCCAGAAATTCAGGAACTAAAAGGAAAACAAGACAAGATAAAATTACGTCCATTTATGCTCAATGTAAATTGTATTAAAATACGATCACGCACCTGCTGGCAAAGTCCTGGCACTGCTTGGATCACTACGTACACAATCGTATACAGTGCATACTTCCACCTACAAAACATCAGAAAGAGATTATATAAGCAGCTCTTCACGATGGTAAAACACTCACATTGACTATAGGCTGATTTACACTATCAAAGTTTCTGTGATCAGAGTAGGAATTTTGTATATGTAAATTCTAAGTTTTGAAGGATTTGTAAGAAATGTTTAAGGGAACTGAGTTAGTGTTAAACATTGAGTGAGTTCCCTCAAGCATTTCTTACAAATTCTACAAAACCCAGAATTTACCTAGATGCAAAATTCCTACTGTGATCACAGAAACTTTGATAGCGTAAACCAAGCTTTATGATTGTAGAGGGAAAAGTAATTCCAGAATTTTACCTGAATGTCGTAAGCAGTAAAAGGTATCAATGATGTGGCATTGAAATATAGAGAAGTAGTGCTGCCAACTCTTGCAGAATTTCTAAATAAAATAATACAGTTTTAGGTCCTGCAATCCTTCATACTAATCCTATCAATCAATTCCAATTTGCTTGAATACACAGAAACAATTGAACTCGAAGTTGACAGTTATTATTTGATGGGTTTTGTTTTCCATTTACAAAAATACTTCTGGGTTCAACTGTTACTTCCATCAAAAAAGATGGCCAAAAATCTTGACAGTATTATTCCACTCAAGTCAGAGTTAAGTCATTGTCAACTTCGCACCATTGTCTCGCGTAGACTTCAACAAATTCAGGAACTGCACATTCTCACGTTTCACTTACGCATAAATATGATAGGTAGTGATTCGTCCATTGGGGATCCTTGGTGGTGACCACGTGACTTCAATACTGGTGCTGTTTATGGTCCTAACACGAGGTCTGTCAAAACCTTCTGGAGCTGAAATATAACAAAGAAAAGGTATGTTGTCATGTGGCTGGCTAATTTCAGGTTATACCTAATGTTAATAACAAATTTTGTGAGATGTTGGGATCTGAGGTAACCGCGTTACCTGCAGAGACTGCAGCTAGCTGCAAACCTGAGTCAGAAGGTCTTGTGCACGCTAGTATAGTAAAAATTTCAATTTTTCCCAATATCTTTTTGCAATATTTACCCATCAGATTTAATAGGTGTCTCTTTTCTACAACTTTCTATTCTTAATCCTGAGGATGACTGAAAACTAGTCGAAACGTCGATTAAAAATCAAAATGTTATTCGGAGTTACTGTTATTTTGTATTCTCTTTCCTATTTTCAAACTTTGTGTGGTTTGACTATTTTCCTGTTCTGTGGCCAAATTTTATTTCTCAAATCTCAAGATGTCAATCTCTAAGTTATGTTTCCTATTGGCAAAATTGTCGTTCTCAGGCCCAATTGCTCAAAAAGTCCCCCCCCCCCTCCCCCGGTGGCCCGGTTCTCCGTCGCAACTCGCAAGCTACGCGCTCTCCAAAACCTGCTTCGGATACTCACTTCGCTCACAGGGCTAACTGCAAATTATATAACTGCAAAATATACAGGCATGTAAAAAACAACGAGGATGTGAAATTGCCACAGGCATCTTACCTCCATCTAACGTGCGTACATTCACTTCATTGCTGGCTCTCGTACCAGCGCCATTGTTCAAGATAACTTGAAAACTGAAGTCTTTACTCGGGCTCAATGGAGTGACAACGACCTTTCTTACAGAGCCAGGTAGGTTGTTCATGAAGGTATACTCAACATCAGCCACAATATCTTTATATCTCACTGCATAGTTAAGAACTTCACCCAGTAAGAACTTCAGTTCAGGCAGAGTCCAGTTCAGTAAGATACTCGTATGGTTCAGAGCTAGCCCGCGTAATAATACACCCGCACGAGGAGGCGCGTGCCCGGTACGGAACGACTGAGAATCATCACTTGTTGTGTTGCCATGTTCGTTGATCATTGTCACCTGTGGGGGGAAATGAACAGATGTTTACCGTTTGGGGGCATACGATACAACATTACTCACATTATCTTGTTGTTCAAAGAATCAATTCTTAGCCAGACGTGGAAAAGTATCGGAACCTGGGAACTTATTTCCCAAATATTTTTTTCAGAAATTTTCACAGAGATTTCTTTATGTTTGATAGCAATGCTGAAAATTACACTGATTGAATATCTAAATTACTAATTACTGAAACGACTGAATAATTAATCTACTAACACTTTACCTAAATTACAGTCGAACAGTTTCATCAAAAATATATGGCCATAGAAAATTTTGAGCCGTACACCCAGGTTCCCAGAAAGAAAAAAAAAAATTTTCACCTCCCCCTTAACCCTAGTTATCCCAACCATATCCACAAGTAATCATAGCTTACCTTATACTGTTGCTCAGAGAATATTCCCAGTCCCCTATCATCAAAGGCGCGCGTTATCCCAGAATACACCTCAACATATGACGTCATTGTAAAGTTATCTGACAACGGTTCATCCAACGTTCTCCTGTATAACACAAAGTTCTCAATAGCACCACCAGGTACTGAGGGTGGGTCCCATGTCACTTCAAGACTTGTAGAGCTAAGAGGCCGCGCTGACGGGGCTGGCTGGTTGCTAGGCAACCCTGGGTGTGTCCTGACGTCATTAGGATCGCTTTCCCGACATGCACTGGCAGTACAGCCCGCAATGACGATGTTATAAACCTTGTAAGGCAGAAGGTCGGTGATAATGAAATTCAACGGATCACTGGCTTGAAATCCGCTGTAGTTTCTGCGGTTCTCTAAGACGCGAACGATATAGTGAGTTAGAACGCACTGGGAACGAGCTTTGGACCACGTGACTTGCACAGCACTAGAGTTCAGGCTTCTCGTCGTGGGCCTCGGAACAAATTCAGGAGCTAAAACATAAAGAATAATTACAACCTTTTGCAACGCGAAATCATCTATACTAACATTATTTATACTGGATAGCTCTATCAGTTCTAAACTGTTCTTCCTGGAGGTCCAGTAAGGATCATCTCTTATTGATCCAGTGTTACTACAGGAAGAAACCTAAACTAACTTTATTTATACTGGATAGATCTATAAATTCGAAACTGTTCTTCCTTGAGGTCCAGTAAGAATCATCTCTTATTGATCCAGTGTTACTATAGGAGGAAACCTAAACTAAGTTAACTTTAATTATACTGGATAGCTCTATTAGTTCTAAACTGTTCTTCCTAGAGGTCCAGTAAGGGTAACACCCCGGTAACAAAAGTGAACAATACTCAAGCTAATCACTATACCACTCACAAAAAAGCCTTGGATTGATAGGGATACAACAAGTATTCCTTGTATTTTTCAGGTAGTTGTATCCCTATCAATCTGAAGCTTTATTATTATTGCCACTGTCTACACTGGCCCAGAGCGTTCAATATCATATCACTACGACCCTATCACCCTACCTCCTTCCTGTGTGGTGATATTACTCCAAGGACTCGGAGTTCCCCCGGCTTTAGTAAAAGCAATCACTCGATAATAATATCTCAAGCACGGCACCACACTGCTGTCCAAATATTCTGCACTCTGGTTGGCTGGGACTTTAGCCACTGAGCTGATGTTTGATTGGTCAATTTCAGATCTCCGTTGGATCACGTATTCAGATATCTTGCCGTTTGTGACTGTCGGCTCTGACCAGCGGATCATGATCGAAGGACCGGGAGCATGAGAGAGGACTGGAGACGACTGTCCTTGGGGAACTAAAGGATAATGATTGATATTATTGTAGATAATATATGTAAAGGGTATAACTGGGTTTCGCTAAACACTATATATCGCGCACTAGATAGCGGTCAATCTGCAATTGAATCTTACCATCTTCAAGGGTCCTGACAGGACGAGAGAGTGAACTGTTACTACATCCAACTACAGTACAAGCTGCAACACTGAATACATAGATAGTGAAAGGATCCAGCCCAGTGACACTCAATCTTGTGATGTTACTAGAGACTGTCGTACGATGTGTGTCGTTTCTGTAGAGGATGTAATGGATAATAACACCATTAGGTTTGCTAGCTCGGTCCCAGTGCACCTGTAATGTTCGCGAGTCCACCTGCGGGAATGTTGGAGGATCAACTGGACTGGGTACTAGAAAATAAAATTTACAACATAAGAAGAGAACTTAATTTATACTGGATAGCTGCTCTATATACGTTCTTTATACGGTCTAGTAAGGATCATCTCTTATTGATCCAGTGTTACTGCAGGAGGAAACCTAAACTAAACTAACTTTATTTATACTGGATGGCTCTATCAGTTCTGGACTGTTCTCCCTAGAGGTCCAGTAAGGATCATCTCTTATTTATCCAGTGTTACTACAGGAAGAAACCTAAACTAAACTAACTTTATTTATACTGGATAGCTCTATCAGTTCTAAACTGTTCTTCCTAGAGGTCCAGTAAGGATCATCTCTTATTGATCCAGTGTTACTACAGGAGGAAACATAAACTAAACCAACTTTATTTATACTGGATTGCTATATCAGTTCTAAACTGTTCTCCCTAGAGGTCCAGTAAGGATCATCTCTTATTGATCCAAAAATAAACAATCCAACTCACCATCTTGCAATGTCCTCACTTCAGTGACGTCACTCCACGCCTTCCCGCCACTCGTGCTGGCTCCGATCTGAAACCCATACTTCATGTAAGGCTCCATATCTGTCATAATAAGAGATAACTGCAAGCTTGTATTAACAATCTTTCCAAGACCTGACTCAATGTGGACTCTCATGATTTCATAGAACAGCAAGATACCATTGTGATGTGCTGGGGGCAGCCATATTATCTCAGCTGCTGTCGAGTTCAGGATTGTTACATTTGGTGCAGCTAGACCAATTGGAGCTGAAAGAGAAAATTTAAAAAAACAAAATGGTTAGACAGGTTTCACTCACAGTTAATAGAATAAGAAGTTTAGGGAACTTGATGCAGACATAATAAACCTCATTGTCTGTTTTTATCTTGGTTTGTGCAAGAAATGGTCGGTTCATCGTCACGTGTGTATTGTATTTTCCCCCATCAACAAATAGCAGCGTGTTGCACACAGTCGTGATATTACACAATGGTTAAATGAAAACATAGCTATTGGTTGCTCTAGCGAAAATATAATACACACGTGACGATGAAACGACCATTTCTCGCATAAACCAAGATAAAAACATAGATAATGAGGTCTATTATGTCAGCATCGAGTTCCCTGACCTTCTTATTATATTCACAAACCACGGCATTCTTCTGATACCTACCTCCCTGTCCAGTTCTGCCTTGGACAATGTTACTGAGTACATATCCAGCTGTATTCGAGGCATTGATTTGAAACAGAAATGATGCATAAGGCAAAAGTTGAGTAAATAACATCTCTTGAAGTGGGTGAACAACCCTGGCCACTGCGCGAGTATCATTCTCCACTTCAAAACTTCCCTGGACCAAGAATTCACCATCAACTATCAAGTTATAAAACACAATCCCGTTTGGTGTGTGGACTGGACTCCACTCAGCAAGGACACTTGTGGAGTTCAGGATAGATATATTTAAACTGACTGTTCCATTGGGCGTGGCCTCTAGGGTTGTGCCGTTTCCGACTACGCTACTGCCACACCCTTTAGCTGTACATATTCTTGATCGGAAGTAGTACTGGGTATATGGAGTCAATCCGCTTTCTGTGAAATTCTTTAAAGTTCCATTCAGAACAATCATCTCATTTCGACCATTCACCCTATACAGTTCATACCGTGTGATGTTTCCATTCGGGAGGCCTGGTTCTAGTATCGTTACCAGAATGCTGTACGGGCTTAGACCGCGTATCCAGGGGGGTGGGATATTCTCAGGACTGCTCTCGACTGTTCTTCGTGTGGTAGGTGTACTTAAGGTGGCTCCACCACCATTGATAGCTTTCAAACGGAATGCATACCTCGTGCCTGCTGTGAGGTTTGTGATTACAAGCAAACGTTGCTCTGCGGTGGCGTTTATAGTTCTCATCTCCCAGCTAGGGCTACCTATGGCATTCACAAGGATTTGGTAACCGCGCATTCTTCCGTTTCTAGTCCCAGGCTCCTGCCACGTCACCTCGGCACGGTGGGCTCCAAGGATTCTTACATCCGGGGGTCTTACTCCCTGCGGTGGTATTTCCGCTGTGTAAAAGACCGTGGGCGTCCCTTGAGTACAGTTTATTTTAGTACAAGCAGTTAGTAGGATGATGTGACGAGTATAGACAGCCAGTCCAGTCAGATTGAAGGTTTGATTTAAACCACGATAGACGTCGCTATCATTTATACTTAAAATATATTCTGTGATAATGCCGTTGGGTTTGTGAGGGACTTGCCAGGATATGAAGAGCGAATAGGGATAACGTTGAACATCAGGGATGCGAACACCTTCAGGAGCTACAGAAAATATACATAATATAGTGAATGTCTGCTTTCCAATTCTCGTGTTACAGCAACACACGTAAAAATCTCACAACTTGTCAACAAGATGTGTTCGCAACAGACTTGTAGCAAGCTTGTCAACAAGTTATAACAATGCTGTTATTTTATCAAGTTGCTACAAGGTTGTCACTCACAACTTTTTGACACATTGTTGAATTGCAGGACGTTGTTGACAAGTTGTTGGAACAGCATTGCTACACGTCTGCTGCAGTAGACTTGCCGAAGTCGCTCGCTAGGTACCGCGCGTAGCAAGAAGGGAGCGCTTGAGAAAGACGGAAGCGAGCGACTTGTGTCACTTGCCTGATTTTGAATCTTACTGAAAAATTTGGCGCGAAAATCAATTATGACATAGTGGGCGTTCACTACGTTGATTTCACTAGTTCATTATTGTTTTGTTCATAATAACAATGAGCATTCACTGACGTCACCGGAGCAAAAATGCACCGGTGAATTTGGCGCGCTTGCGGGTGACAAAAGTCCGTCGCTTCCAGGAACCACGAACCGCGGACTTTGGAAAGTCTACTGCTGCAGGTTTGTTACAACTTGTGCGTTTTTACGTGTGTAATCCGCAGCAGATTGTCATCAAAGGTAGAAAATAATTTTAATTAATTTCATTCAATGTAATAGTCTTGTATTTGATGGTAAATATCTAGTATAATTTTCTTCCTGCAAATGGAATTATTTTTTAGGTTGCCCACCATCTGGCGAGCTGTAACTAGAACCGACCAATTTAAAACAAGACGAACTCTAGACTTACCAGATTCCAAAGTACGAACTCTCGTCCCAGGACTTTCACCTGTTCCTCCGTTGGTAAATGCTGCTACTCTGACGTCATACCAAGTATACGGTTCCAGTCCACTCAGAGTGGCATTGAGAACCCTGATCTCATTAAATCTCATCTCAACTGGATCAGTAGACGAGTTACCACCATAATAAGCTCGTATGATATAACCACGGAGCACGCCACGGTAGACCTGTGGCGGTTGCCAGGCAACACGCATGGATTTTCCACCAGGTAGAGAAATGACGTCATGGGGAGCGCGATAGAATTCGGGAGCTAAGAAATGTTAATGAATAAAATTTAGTCAATAATTATTTTTAGAAAATAACTTCCAAGACAGACCTCAACTAAACTAAACTAAACTAAACTAAACTAACTCAACTCTATTTAATATATGGAAATTGAATTTGAGCTGGAAATTGAATTTGAGCTGGAAATCGAATTTGAGCTAGAAATTGAATTTGAGCTGGAAATTGAATTTGAGCTGGAAATTGAATTTGAGCTGGAAATTGAATTTGAGCTAGAAATCGAATTTGAGCTGGAGATTCAATTTGAGCTGGAAATTGGATTTGAGATGGAAATTGAATTTGAGATGGAAATTGATTTTGAACTAAATTTGAGCTGGAAATATTCCTACCTCCTTCGCCACTGCGGAGAGCAAACCATGAACTCTTTCCTCCTCCCTGGGTACCAGGCTGTTTACTTTCAACGCGATACAAATAATCTAGAAATATAATTATAGAGACATGGTAAGTTCCTGCTTGGAATATCATCGACATCTCCCATTAGTACGTGCTGTGAGGCAAGAGATGGTGGTCAACACATGAAGAATGTTGGCATTTGTAGAAGCAATTCTATTAATTCGCCTCCAAACACCAGACTACGATATACAATGAAAATAACAGGTTTTTCTCACTCTGATAACTGCAGGTTCACCACCATCTGATGCACGATAGTGCTTTGTGGAACACGCGTTTAGAAAATTAAAACAGCACACACGCAAAAACGCACAAGTTGTAACAAACCCACAGCAGACTTGTAGCAATGCTGTTCCAACAACTTGTCAACAGGATGTGTTCGCACTGCTTGTTCCCAGCTTGTTGACAACTTGCTACAAGGTTGTTGAGCTCAACAGACTTGTTACAAGTTGTTCCAACAATTTGTTATCGTTCTGCAATTCGACAATTTGTCAACAAGTTTGAGTGACAACCTTGTAGCAACTTGATAAAATAACAACATTGGTACAACTTGTTGACAAGCTTGCTACAAGTCTGTTGCAAACACATCTTGTTGACAAATTGTGAGATTTTTACGTGACTGCATAGCATATGTTTACATATTAAATACCATAACATTCAAGTCAAGTACCTGTAAACGAGGCAAGCTCTCCGTCAACCATACTTTCATCTGTACCAGCATACACCAACTGTGAAGTAGCATTATAACAAGTACCAACACGAGTACCATTCACAGTCCTGGGACAACCACTCAGATCAACATTCATCACTGAGCTCACTTCAGTCAAAAAATCAATATCACGGCTGGTCTTAATCCTCCTGAAACACCCGCCAAATGTTGTACCCGTGTTCAGACCAATGCTGCCCGCTTTCTGGGCGGCACGTGACCCAAACGGCAGGCCCCCAAAATAGAGTTCTGACGTCACATACAGATCTGTAATACCAGGGTCGATAGTTTCCCTTTTGCGATCTATGTCGATGAAAAATGACGATTTTCCAAAGTTAGTCAATGACAGACTATGCCACGCACCATCACATACTGGTCTACTCGGGACCAGAGTTATGTTACCATAGCAAGAACGTGTGCGATATAATACTCGGATGTCTCCAGAGTCTAAACTGACCGTGAAATATGACTCCTCCCCAGTGCCTTCGCCATAAACAAACACAAGTATCCCGGATGTGTAGAATGTTTTAAATTCAAACGACAGAGTGTATATAGTATTACCCTTAAATATCTCTTTCTTCAGACTCAAGTAACCTCCGCCTTTCAGATAAAATCCTGGCGCATGGGCCACAGGACAACCGCTGGACACAGGATCTACATTCACTTTCTCAAGTGCAGTATCCAGGCTGACCAACTTGTTCTGCAGGCGCAGTTTGTTGAGGCAGCCAATGAAATGAATGCTATTGTTCAAACTGTAAACAGAATTTAGAATGTGCTGATTGAGGCGAAGTCCAGGTTTTACTCCGCCAATATAAACGCCAGTATTTCGGTCAATATAGGAAGCTGTCGGAGGACTCTCTCCAAGACCATGATAGTTTCTGTCGACAGTAACTTCACCACGTCTGCGATTGCGAGTAATTTCAACATAATGCCAATTATTATCGTTAAATTTGGGTGAATTCTTGACAGATATTTGAGCAATACCACTCTGACAATCAAATATGAACCACGGCACTCCTTCACGTATTTCAACAGCTATGAAGTCTTCTTGTGTAGCAGACGCTAGGAACATTATCAAGCCGTGATCAAAACGAGTTCGGAACCAAAACTCCACTTGTGTCTGAACGACATCTGTGATGACGGTGTCGCTCAGCAGGTAGTACCCAAGCCCCGGGAAGTGCGCGCCTTCAATGGCGTTGATAGGTGGGGAGTAGAATGCAGCATGCGAACGAGTCACGTGGTATTCCGGGGGGACAGGACCATTGGGTTGCGAAGGAAGGCTCCAGGTTAGTTTCAAATGAGTTGAGTTGAGTGGTTCACCAGTTGGTGCCGCTTGTCCTGAGGGAGCTGAAAAATAAGCAATGGATCACTTGTCATAACACACAATAAATAATATTTTGTTTCCTTTGTTCCATTCTATGCTTACATTATCAGAACAGTGGTAACTAGGCATGTGAGTTATCAATACACTCACATATATAATTTAAATGCTTGGTTACCTTTGTTCCATTCTATGTTTACATTATCAGAACAGTGGTAACTAGGCATGTGAGTTATCAATTCACTCACATATATAATTTAAATATTTGGTTACTTTGTTCCATTCTATGCTTACATTATCAGAACAGTGGTAACTAGGCATGTGAGTTATCAATTCACTCACATATATAATTTAAATGCTTGGTTACCTTTGTTCCATTCTATGTTTACATTATCAGAACAGTGGTAACTAGGCATGTGAGTTATCAATTCACTCACATATATAATTTAAATGCTTGGTTACCTTTGTTCCATTCTATGCTTACATTATCAGAACAGTGGTAACTAGGCATGCGAGTTATCAATTCACTCACATATATAATTTAAATGCTTGGTTACCTTTGTTCCATTCTATGCTTACATTATCAGAACAGTGGTAACTAGGCATGTGAGTTATCAATTCACTCACATATATAATTTAAATGCTTGGTTACCTTTGTTCCATTCTATGTTTACATTATCAGAACAGTGGTAACTAGGCATGTGAGTTATCAATTCACTCACATATATAATTTAAATGCTTGGTTACCTTTGTTCCATTCTATGCTTACATTATCAGAACAGTGGTAACTAGGCATGTGAGTTATCAATTCACTCACATATATAATTTAAATGCTTGGTTACCTTTGTTCCATTCTATGCTTACATTATCAGAACAGTGGTAACTAGGCATGTGAGTTATCAATTCACTCACATATATAATTTAAATGCTTGGTTACCTTTGTTCCATTCTATGCTTACATTATCAGAACAGTGGTAACTAGGCATGTGAGTTATCAATTCACTCACATATATAATTTAAATGCTTGGTTACCTTTGTTCCATTCTATGCTTACATTATCAGAACAGTGGTAACTAGGCATGTGAGTTATCAATTCACTCACATATATAATTTAAATGCTTGGTTACCTTTGTTCCATTCTATGCTTACATTATCAGAACAGTGGTAACTAGGCATGTGAGTTATCAATTCACTCACATATATAATTTAAATGCTTGGTTACCTTTGTTCCATTCTATGCTTACATTATCAGAACAGTGGTAACTAGGCATGTGAGTTATCAATTCACTCACATATATAATTTAAATGCTTGGTTACCTTTGTTCCATTCTATGCTTACATTATCAGAACAGTGGTAACTAGGCATGTGAGTTATCAATTCACTCACATATATAATTTAAATGCTTGGTTACCTTTGTTCCATTCTATGCTTACATTATCAGAACAGTGGTAACTAGGCATGTGAGTTATCAATTCACTCACATATATAATCTAAATGCTTGGTTACCTTTGTTCCATTCTATGCTTACATTATCAGAACAGTGGTAACTAGGCATGTGAGTTATCAATTCACTCACATATATAATTTAAATGCTTGGTTACCTTTGTTCCATTCTATGCTTACATTAGCAGAACAGTGGTAAATAGGCATGTGAGTTATCAATTCACTCACATATATAATTTAAATGCTAAAATGAAGACTGCTTATTAATTGGGAAGTCTCCAGCCAGAATAAAGTTGAAAACGAGCACTCTCTTCATTGCAACATACCTCCAGGCAAAGTCTTGGTCTCAGTCTCGCCGCTATGTGTAGTACAACCAACACTATTGCATGACGTCACTGTAAACCTGTACATAGTGTAAGGTTGAAGTCCGCTGACCACAGCACTTGATGTCCTATTCACGGTCCGCGCGAGGACTGGTATCGTGTAAGACGTTTCGTTCGTATAGATATAGACACGTGACTTGGTGATAATGCCATGTGGGGAAGCTGGAAGGTACCACGTGATGTTCACTTCGGAGCTGGATACTGCAGAAGACTGGGGACGAATTCTACTCTCTCCTTCCGGAACTAAAATATTTGAAACAAACGTTGCTCATTACACACGTAAAAACGCACAAGTTGTAACAAACCTGCAGCAGACTTGTAGCAATGTTGTTCCAACAACTTGTCAACAGGATGTGTTCGCACTGCTTGTTCCCAGCTTGTTGACAACTTGCTACAAGGTTGTTGAGCTCAACAGACTTGTTACAAGTTGTTTCAGCAACTTGTTATCGTCCTGTAATTCAACAATTTGTCAACAAGTTGTGAGTGACAACCTTGTAGCAACTTGATAAAATAATAGCATTGTTACAACTTGTTGACAAGCTCGCTACAAGCCTGTTGTGAACACATCTTGTTGACAAGTTGTGAGATTTTCTTGTTGACAAGTTTGTGAGATTTTCATTTTGAAAACGAAATTCTGGCGTTTGAAAATGGGGTTCTGGCATTTGAAAAGGGAGTTCTGGCATTTGAAAAGGGAGTTCTGGCATTTGAAAAGGGAGTTCTGCATTTGAAAAGGGAGTTTTGGCATTTTTAAAGGGAGTTCTTCATAAACAGAAGAAATGAGATCACGTGCACTGCATTACAACATAGAGCATGTATGAATACTTCACCTGCTTCAGCTGTGCGTTGTCTAGTCCAGTTACTTGCGGTGTCCCCACTGACCTGAGCTGTATACGTCACAACACGAAACTCGTACCACGTGAAAGGAACCAATCCCAGGATAGTTGTATTCCGCAAGTTATCTGCCCCAGGATTGGCCGACGGTGATGACGAATACACTGATTTCCCGCGGTCATCAGGAAGCGCGGGAAACGAACGTTGGTGTAACTCATATCGGAAGATTATCCCATTAGGCTCCGCGGGCTTGTCCCATGTGACAATGAAACTCTTCCCACCGGGTAAAGGTACCACGTCAGGCGCAGGCTGATTATCGGGCGCTGTAGGGCGGGTTAGGATACTATTAGCCGGACTTTTTGTACACCCAGCCGAGGTACATACACGTATCGTAAAATTATATACCGTATATGGTCTCAAGTTGATGACGTCACAACTCAATACCAGGCCCTGGCAGTGTACAATAATGTTCGCGTCTCTGGGGTTAGTGGATTCAAGATAGAATGATGTTAGTTTTCCGTTCCGTGCACTGGGATACGACCACACTGCTTTGCCGCTTCTTGGTCGGATATCTGAGATATTGGGTCTGGATACCCCATCGGGGGCATCTTCTTCCGTACGGTAAAGTTTCCCATCATCAAAACTTCGTATAGTGCCGCCGTCAGTGTTGGTTATAATATAATACCCATACCATGTGTAGGGTTTCAGACCCGTGTCGTTAAACTCTCGTCTGTCATTTCGGTCCGTATACACTCGGGTCCCATTTCGGTAGAGTTCGTAACTTGTGATTAAACCATTCGGCTGATCTGGAGGATCCCACAGGACACTGAGGGTTGTTGAGGATAGTGTACGTACAATAGGGGGACCTTGTTGAGAGGGCACTCCGCTACAACCAAACGGATTTTCTTGTTGTAAACTTCGGGTTCCTGGTTTACATTGATCACAGCGGGGCCCTTCCACATTCTGTTTGCAATGAAAACAGCCTCTAGCATCACAGCCATCTCTTGTTATTCCTGCGTGGTTACAGTTACATGAAGTACATCGTCCTGCAGTAAAACTGTGATAGCCTGTCATACATCGATCACAGAATTGTCCCCCAACCCCTGTGCCGGTTTTACATTGACAAAACCCAGTATCGTTACAAGTGCGCGACGCAGAACCATCGAGATCACAACTGCAAATAAACAAACAGAATTGGCAAAATCTGCGATATTGTTTAGCTCAGAAAATAATGTCATTTCATTAGATGTGGCAGTCTTTACTTTGATGGCAAATAAATGGAACTGAGAGATGTAAACACGTAAAAACGCTTGTAGCAATGCTGTTCCAACAACTTATCAACAGGATGTGTTCGCACTGCTTGTTCCCAGCTTGTTGACAATTTGCTACAAGGTTGTTGAACTCAACAGACTAGTTGCAAGTTGTTCCAACAACTTGTTATCGTCCTGCAATTCAACAATTTGTCAACAAGTTGTGAATGACAAGCTTGTAGCAACTTGATAAAATAATAGCATTGTTACAACTTGTTGACAAGCTTGCTACAAGCCTGTTGCGAACACATCTTGACAAGTTGTGAGATTTTTACGTGTGTAGCACTTACTCAAAGCGACTAACTTTCTCTAAATATGATATGTTATCGTTACCTGCAAGATATACAGCCCTGACCAGCCTGATTCCAGACATATCCCACAACACACTGCTCACATTTCAGACCTTGCACATTAGACAGACATAAACACTGACCACTAGAGCTGCCACAGCTAAGCTCCTCTGGCCTTCCACGATCTCCATTTTGAGTTCCCTTGGCATAACATTGACATGGTTCACATCCGTTAGGATTACTGGAGGTTAAGTTATAGTATCCTGTAGGACACTGGTCGCAAAATTGTCCCGTGGCGTTCCTCTTACACGTACATGTCCCCGTAACATTATTACATGCCCCGAAAGTTCCCCTAGCGTCACACTGACACCTAGTACAGCCATTATCATTCAATCGTTGGAGATTATAGTATCCCAGCTTGCATCGCTCGCAGCTATAACTGCTGACGTAGTTCTTGCATTGGCATTGACCACTGACTCCATCGCATCGGTCAAATGCACCAAAACGAGTCCCGCTTATCGAACACTGACAAGGCTGGCATCCCGAGGTATTTAAACTATGAAAGCCTAAATTACATCGTTCACATTGACGTCCAGTGACGGTATTCTTACAAGGGCATTGACCGCTGGTCTTATCACACTCCTGGCTCGACGAACCGGTCATATTACACAAACATGGCGGACAACCTTCCGAATTAATTCTAGTTAAATTATAAAATCTTGCTCTACATTGATCACATCGTGTGCCCATCACATTACTTTTACATCTGCATTGACCACTTGTGACGTCACACGTTACGTCACCGTTGACAGTTCCTCTGACATCACAATTACAAGCAATACATCCAGTGGCATGCGATGATTTGAGATCATAATAACCAGGCTTACATTGAGTACACGCACGACCTGTGACATTATCTTTACATTCACACTGACCAGCAAGGATTGCACCATCAGAATCGTCCTGAAATAGATTTTAAAATAGAATTGTGTATTGGCCTTAGGACGAAACATCGAAACAGTGTTATTTTATTAAGAAACAGAAAAGAACAGTAACGCTAGTCTTGTTAAGAACATACAGAAAAAAGCAAGAGCTAAACATTTTCAGATGATGAACAATCCTTTGCATGTCTAAATTGTCCAAGTATTAAATACAGGCAGGTTCCACTAAACTACGCCCAATAGAATAAGGTCAGGGAACTCGATGCAGACATGACACACCTCATTATCTATGTTTTTTCTTGGTTTCAGGGGCGCAACTAGCCCCTTTTACTTAGGGGGGTGTCTAGCAGAATTGCCCTGCCAAAAGCAATGATACCCTGCAGCCTGCAGCGCCAGCGCTAATACAATACATCACCAAGCTACGGGTATAATTGAACTGTCAATGTACATACATACGAACTGCTTATTGTTTGCTAGCTGTAATAAGTTACTTAATAACTCTACATTCTATCATTTAAAATCTTTGATTGCCCTGCCAATCGGGGTGATTCATATTTGGGGGTCACACCCCACACCCCCATCTCCCCTCAAGTTTCGCCCCTGCTTGGTTTATACGTGAAATGGTCGATTCATCGTCACGTGTGTATTGTTTTTTCGTCCAACCAACCAATATCAGTGTGTTGATTTAATTACAGGTCTTGATTATTACACAATGGTTAAATGAAGACATAGCTATTGGTTGCTCTGGCGAAAATATAATACACACGTGACGATGAACCAACCATTTATTGCATAAACCAAGAGAAAATTATGTCTGCATCGAGTTCCCTAACCTTCTTATTCTATTGAGTGTGACAAAACGTTACAAGACACCATACCTTGACACAATCGAGTTTCCCAAGCTTCACCCCAGGCCCTGAGCATCTACACGGCGTGCACACGTCAGCATCGGTAAAATTCTTCCCAGTCTCTCTGTAGTACCCATCCTCACACGAATCACAATATTGACCAGCGGTATGGTGTTGACAGTTGATGCACACGCCACCACCACCTCTGGCGCGATCACGGGGGAATGGGTCAAAGGTTTGGTTGTAGTAACAGCTAGTAGCGTGGTTATGACATTCACATTTGATACAAGGATAGGAAACAAGAGTGCTGCCTCGTAAGAATGGCTTGTTGTTGTACATGGGCTGGCATCGGTCACACTAAATGAAGAAATGAATTCATTGAGTGATATCGCAAACATTGTGGTCTTGTCGTGGTTTGTGTCTGAACCGCCTGAAAAAGATTCTCAAACATGGTGGTCTAATGTAGATCGTGTTTCAAAATAAGATCCGTGGTTAATGTGTGAACTACCTGAAAAAGATCTCCAAGACTACTATTAATTAACAACAGTCTTCACTTTGAATCTTTCCCAGGAGTTTAAACACAAACAACGGCAAGAAGCAGCTTATTCTATCTACTCCTATATGGACACAACAGGGCACACACACCTTTTCTCCTTCAGTAAAAGTAGTTGGTTCACATTCACAGATACAGGTTCCATTGCTCGTCTCATTTCTGGGAATATATCTTGCAAGCTGTGCATTACCATAGCACTCACACCTAAAGCAAATGTGTTCATCTCATTATCCCATATCAGATATTTATTACTCAAGTTACATGCATGCACGCGTATAGTGCCCACTTTTTCACATGTACGCCTGTTCGTATTTTTATTTAAAAAGTTCATTAATAATTCACGAAGAAAATACAAAAGAAATGAATGTTTAATCAATGTTTGTAAATTGGATAAAGATTTGTCCTGATATACATAAACTTCAGCTTTGATTTTAAAATTACTTTGCCAATGAACTCATAAGATGGGTCGTTTTTTAAGTACGATAAAACATTCAAATCCGATCTGTATCTGATATACAAACTCTCGCCTTCGGCTCGAGCGTGTATATCATAATTATACAGATCGGCTGCTCATGTCTTATCTAGTACATAACAATTACTTGCCGAAGGCGAGGTGATTACAAGTCTATATTATAGGCCTGTAATCACCAATTAGCAAGTATAATTTCAGTATTGAAAATGTTTTGTTAACTACAAATACACGTGTTTATTTTAAGAAAATAATTTGTATAAATAATTTACTTCCGATTTTTTCCATTTTTTTTGGGGGGAAAAGCAACAGTTACTTCTCAGAGCAGTCTGAACTGTAACTATTGCCTCAGAGTTACTGCTGAAGGAGCCAATCAGAATGCGCAAAGGCCATTTTTCAATACTGAAATTATATTAAAACTCAATAGTCAGGAGTTCATAATAGAATAGAGACTTGTTCAGCCTTCCACTAAACCGATCCGCTGATCACAGGAACTTGGATAGTGAAACCCAGGCGCGGCTACCCACCTTCCAGCAACGACAAGCTTCGACAGACCAAAATATTTGCTGACTGAAGTTGGAAACAGCGTGTGGTTATAAAGATGAACGCGAACATTCGTAGCTCGGATGAAATCTAACAACTTCTGCGAGCAATAAAGGCTAGTGCAGCTTCCGCCATAAGGTCGAGATCGAATTTGTCTATCTGGAGTGAATGATATTCCACCTTCGTTATATCTTGTGCTAGAAAAGTAAGAAAAATATTACTCGCGTATGAGTACTGAAAGTCAAGAGTCTTTTTGCTAAAGTGATACAATTATTTATGAGAGAAATCCAACACTGCTTTATCGACGTAAAGTTGACTCTAACGGGAATTGAACTCGCGCATGTATTCAGCGAACATGGCAGAAAAAAATAAGTCAATTCAAAGCCAGAGAGTCAATAATAGTGTTGTGTCTTGGTCAGCACGCTTGCCTTTCAAGCTCGGAGACTCGGGTTCAATCCTTGCTCGGACCTCTACTCAAGCACTTAAAATAATTGAGAAGAGCTACCTTTACATTGACATCAGTAAATGGTTAGACTTTCGCGTCTTCTCGGATAAGGACGTTAAATCGTAGTGGGCAATACTATTGGGAAATGAACTCAAACCTCGCTTAAGTCAATTTTATGTTACTAATGCAGTGTTGAATTTTTCTCAGGAATATATTGTTTCATGTTTCCCCCCTTTACCTGTCCTGTTGTTGACAGTTGACTGAGTCAGGTTGACTTAAAGGACCGTTGTTTGCCATGCCAAACGACTTCGGACAATCCACGGCATAATACTGCCAAGCTTCGTACGTTTCTCCGTAGTTCAAGGATCGCTCAATCAAAATTGCCGCAGGTATCGGGCCATAAAACTGACTGACAATGTGGAACATCTATAGTAACGAAGTAATCCAAATGAAATTATATTACGAATCTAATGGAAAACTACATCTATACAATGCTTGTGATGTTACTCTGAGTGTATATCCACACCGGGCAAGCTTGAAAAATATGCCTGACCACGGTGGGAATCGAACCTACGACCTTTGGAATACTAGCCCAATGCTCTGCCAACTGAGCTACGCGGCCTTCGATATCAATGTTATCTAATAGATAAGATTCTGTTCTAGAACTAGAACTAGATTGGGCTAGTATTCCAAAGGTCG